GGGACCAAAAAAAAAAATCTTTCTTTTTTTTGATTTTTTGAATGGGGGGGTACACCCGACCCTCCCCCAGCCCATCCACCCCTTCAACACCCCCCCGGAAGGCCACGCACGGAGGGCCCAAAGTCCGTAAGTACGGGCTGTACGGGCGCCGGGGGGCCCGTACGTACGGACGGGCCATATTCGTACGGTTGTATACACTGCAGAATAACATGCGCGTTCCCAATATTCTGGGAACTCGCGATCTCTCAGGCACTCACGGTCAGTGATCCGGAAGGGATGACATTCATGCTGCGGGGTGGGGTAAGAATCAATACATTCGAAGAGCTCGGTCGGCAACCGGATCGAGGGCAGATCCTGTAGACATGCGTGTACATGATGGCCTCCTACGGCCGGGAGTACACGTGCATGCATAAGATCTTCCTTCGATCAGACTGAGAATTTTCACAACTTCGGTACATGCACATCAGCGCGTCGGCCCAAAGGTGTCGCTGGTGGGCTCACTGACCAGAGACATACATGGATCGAGAGATATACATGCATCAACCACTTTCACAACTTCCGGTTACTCACTGACCAGAGACATACATGGATCGAGTGCAGGCAACCAATCAATCAAGTTGACAACCAAGCAGAAGGAGGAAGGGGCGGGGAAAGGAATCACTCATCCATTCATAGAAAAGAAGACCTGAGATGACCGATCCAAAAAAAAGGATGGCTTGCGCCAGACATCAAAATTATGCAAAAGAGTGGAAGAAAAGCACCATTCCAACACCTCCCCTCCTCGTCTCTCTCTCTCTCTCTCTCTCTCTCTCTCTCTCTCTCTCTCTCTCTCTCTCTCTCTCTCTCTCTCTCTCTCCACCACCCCGATGCGGGCAGTCCGTCGCCTCGCACCTGAGAAAGATTAAACACAATGGACCCAAAAGTAGAAGAAGATGCCTTGAGCATTAATATCGCGGTGTACAACATCTTCCCCTCCACCTTTCCATAACAGAGTTACGGAAACTCAACCCTTCAACTCAATACACCACTCAGATTGAGGATACCTATTGTGTAATACGACTTTAAATATCCGAAGTAGGTTAGCTTCCTACTTTCTTCGCATCGGTACTACGTCGGACATGTAGCCGGGAAAAATTGAAGATTGAAAATGCATGGAGTCAGGAATTCCAACCAAATTCTTACAATATTAACTCCTAGTACAGGGTCGGCCGGGCAGGCCCGACGACCCGCCGCTATGCGATGAAATCAAAAAATGTATGTGGTCGCCAATTATAGCCATATACTAGCAAATTTAATTTTTAGTGAAGCGCCTGCTTGGAAGGCCAAGCGTCACACCACTCAGTAATGCATAGAGCCAGGTAACCAAGTAAGTACATGCTGAAGAACCAGTAGTATGATATGAGCCGAACGGTAGATTTGTTCCCATTGACGACGTTAAACTCAATCCGCAGTAGATCGAACTCGTAATCGCCGATGTATTGGCACTCCTGAATCCGCCAAGTTCCCGGAATGTGTCCAGGCCGATCCAAAACCGACCAGATGAATGTGGCCGCGAAGATCAATAGATACGTCTCAAAAACTCCCTGCGTGATGTTACCCTGAAGGTAATCCTGGATTCGTGGTGAACCGTCACCGTAGATTTGTTTCTAACGACAAAGTTAAAACCTCAATCCGCAGTAGATCGGATTGGTAATCACCTATATATTGGCCCTCCTGAATGTGCTCAGTTGCCTGGACATATGTGTCTTGGTAAATACAAACCAACTGGATGAATATGGCCAAGGAGATCCATAGATACATTTCAAAATTGTGGTAGCAGTCGGAGCATTCCTGCCAGTAGTTCTTCATGTGTGGTCCGACAGTACCGTGGAGACCAGTCCCCGTTTGTAGATCGCCCCGCAGAGTTACAAACATTGCGGGAAGTCACCTATAGCTCAGATGCTTTTCACTGGCTCCTGCATCTGGGCCCAAAAGGGGTTATTACCGTCGCCTCGCACCTACACAGAGTTGTCACCCCGCTTTGTCTGAACATGCAAGCCAGGTTCGCCCGTGTGCCACAGTCCTTCGCAGCCACACGTCAACCCCGCATACCCAGCACCAGCTCGTTGGATCGCCCAACTCCCTACTCACCGTCTTGGTCATGCCCGTTAGCCGATCCTCTCGACCGAGCTAACTCCAAAGTTGATTAGAGAGGCAGTTAATCGCGCCTGCAAAATTTATAGCATGAGCGTCCGCACGAGGTACCCGGGATTGTGCCGGAGTGGGAGGGAAGAAGAAGGAAGGAAGTGCCTACGACTGCATTGCCAGGCCGCGGAGTGGGGGACGTAGCCTCTCTCCGCGCATCGATCCAGTCATGCACCGTTCAGGCCAATGAGATCGAGGAAAATATGAGCGAGCAGGGGCGCGACAAAGATATCAAGAAGGAGAAGATTATAGTTACATTTGCGCTCTGCCAAGAAGAGAAGTACAATTACGCTAGAGATTAAGGCGCGGAGAAGCCAGAGCACAGACCCTGGCGCAGCAGAGCGCAAGCAAGCAAGAAGCATCGTGCAGTTGCAGGCAAAATTACGATGCACCCAAATTCCTAGCCTAATTTAAGTCCTGATTGCGAAAAGAAATTTGATAAAAGAAATTCCGAGAACCCGTGCGGGCTCAACATCAGTTGGAAATTCAAAAAGATTACCCCGCACGACAACCGCGCCAAAATTCCCCAACCTCACAGCAGAACAAGAAAGAAGCTATGGCAACCGTTATTTTCCACACTCGCTAAGGCGCGATCAACTACCAACCGTCGTGGGACCACCCCCTTTTTCCAAAAGACGAGGGCATTCGTGCAATTGGGCGGGCCCCTCTCAATCAACACCCGGAGTATCGTCGCGCAGAAAATCGTGCGCTTACAGAAAACAGGTCGTCACACCGAGAGTGGTCTGCAACACGTCACTATAGCACACGGGCAGCGTTTTGGAGCACGGGGACAACAATCAAAACAGCAGAGGACACGTGGTAGTTGATGGCGGCAACCAGTGTCCGGCGATGGCGACAACGGGGATGACGAGGACAAGTCGGTAATCGTGAGCAGGTCGAGAGCTAAAATGGAGCCCCGACTTTCTCCCCTCTCTGCACAACTGCGAAGTATGCAAATGAGATCTTCTGGCTCTTTTGTCTCTGAAAGATAGCCGTATCGAATGCAATGACTAATCTAGTGGTTGTTTGGCTGCCATGGCTGCGAAGTCCAAACATGCTAAGTAAGACTGAGCTGAGTGGGGTTGGGAAGTTCACTGTGACAAAGTGCAGGTGCTTGCATTGTGGATCCCGCAAGGTGATCAGGCCAAGAAAGATGGCGCCGGAACTTATGGATGCTTACGTGAGACTGCATCAAGGAGGGCCTGCATCAATGATGTTATCGATATAGACGTCATCCAGAGGCCAACTCTGGCAAGGAGTTGGTGCTAGACAATGGTCCGAATGAGCCGACAGGCAATGCAGAGAGATGAGAGATTCTGAATGCAGTAGCACGGCACGGTCAGGTTGTGGTCGAGGTAGAGGAGCAGTAGCGCCCATCATCCGGGTTGATGCCTTAGGACACAACTCTTCTCTATATTATGTATAGCTCGGTAGCATCACGAAATGCCGCAATGAGTATATGGGTCTCACGTTGACGAGTGCACATATGCGGATTTGTATGCGAGATACACAACTATGTTGCTTTTTTTTTCTTTTCTTTAGGTAGTGGTACGAGGGTAAAGTGATGTCGGCATTGTGGAGGCTGGTGGGATAGACTGTCTGTCAGTTTAGGTGTACCAGGCTGTTGGTTAAACCTTTACTGTCACATATCTGATGCCTCAGTTACACCACCAGAGTACCCCAGGGGATCTTAGCCCCCCTCTGACACAAATGCATATGGACAGACTGTCTGTCAATGTACGTGTACCATTACTGTCACATATCTGATGCCTCAGTTAAAACACCAGTTACTGTACTCCAGTGGGTCTTAGGCCCCCTCTGACGTAAATGCATATGAACCCGCGTGGTGCCTATTCAGCCTACTGGAGGTTTAACCGGTGAAAATCAACAGCAATACTGAAAAAAATGGGAACAAATGGCAATGGATCAGGGTGTGAGGGTACTGCCACCTGCTAAGACGAAACATTTTGTGGTGGTCCACGTCACCATTTTTTTATTTTTTTTTCAAAATCACGGGCCCAGTGCCCAAGGCTTATATTTCCAACAAAAATTTGAGGCCAGGGTCCTATTGGATTTTTATTTATTATTATTTTTTTTTAATCTGCTGGAAATCGGGTCCAGCGTCCCTGTACAAAGATGTGAAAGTGTCTGCTGGAAATCAGGTGCAGCACCTCTTTGATCCTATGCATCTGATCCACAGTATCACTGTGTATGTAAAACAATCCACAATGTGATGTATGTGTGATGTAAGTGTGCTGTATGTGTGATGTGGCGTATGTGATGGATGTGTTCTATATCAATCACTCATTTAAACACGAGCGTATCTGCTGGAAACCGGGTCCAGCGTCCCTGTACAAAGATGTGAAAGTGTCTGCTGGAAATCAGGTCCAGCATCTCTTTGATCCTACGCATCTGATCCGCAGTATCACTGCGTATGTAAAACAATCCACAAGGTGATGTATGTGTGATGTGTAATGTCGTGTATGTGATGGATGTGTTCTATATCAATCAATCATTTAAACACAGAACCCTATGTACAGAGCTGTGAATGTATCTGCTGGAAATCGGGTCCAGCGTCCCTATAACCCTATGCATCTGATCCACTGTATCGCTGTAAACGTACAGCAACCCATGAAACCCAAACCAAGATGTAATGTATGTGTGAGGAGCAATCGGCACTCCGACGTTGATCGATATTATGGGCCGGACAACACCAAACAACAGCGACTATCCCACTCCCAACAACGACTATCCCACTCCTAACTTCAGCCAACCAACGAGGTTGAAAGGGGGGAGGGGGGGGTGAGCTGGCAAACCTCTTATCCGTGTCAAGCCCACTCCCCTCCGCGTCAGCATGCAGCATCTCTCCCGTCCTGCTGATGCTCTCTGCCCCGCTGCTGCCGAGGTCGTCGCTGGCGCCGTAATCATCGCTGCCGCCATCGTCGTCGCTGCCGCCATCGTCGTCGCTGCCGCCGTCACCACTGTTGTTGTTGTTGTCGACGTTGTTATTGTTGTTGTTGTTGTTACTGTTGTCATGGTGATCCTCGCCGCCATCATCGTCGTTGCCGCCCTCCCCATTGTTGTTGTCAGCCCCGAATTCCACTGCATCCACGTGCGGCATCTCTCCCATCTTGCTGACGATGATCAGATATGCGCGCGCACCGTTCTCCACCCCGCTTCTACCATGTTCATCGCTTCCGTTGTAGGTGTTGTTGTTGACGTTTTTGTTATTGATGTTAATGTTGTCATCATTGTTGTTGTCGCTGTAACCGTTGTTGTTGTTGTTGTAGTCGTTGTTGTTGTTGATGTTGTTGTTGTTGATGCTGACGCTGGAATTAACCTCGTCTTCCTGCGCTCCATCCTCCTGCCAGTCCTCACCCTTCAACCGGTCTTCAAGCTTATAGCGCACGTCGCGACCCTCAGCGAAGAGGGCATAACAGGTAGAAACAACCATTTCGTCAAAATGGACATTTTTTATTTTTTCAACGAAATTGAAACTGAGTTTTTTGGCCGAAAACTCGTCAAAATTTGCTGTTCCTGAGGGTCCAGCGTTTTGGACCCCCCGGCTGTACATGGACCTAGCTTGAGACCAGGCACCTCCAGGCAGGACTGCCTGGAGGTACCTGGTCTCAAGCTGGGTCCATGTACAGCCAGGGGGTCCAGCGTTTGTAAAACGCTGGACCCTCAGGAAGAACAAATTTTGACGAGTTTTCGACCAAAAAACTCGGTTTCAATTTCGTTCAAAAAATAAAAGATGTCCATTTTGACGAAATGGCAGTTTAGACATCATGGCCTCTGCCCTCTTCCAATCGATGCAGGCTTCCAGCTGGGGATCCGGCCCCTCCTCCAGCCCCCAGATGATATCCAGCATGTCGTCGGCCATATTCTTCAACCAAACAGCCAGAGAGATCGCTCCCCTTCGTCTTCTGGCTCCTCATTCGACCGCAAAGACAGCTCCCCCACCATCACCTGTAACCGCCTGCATCCCTGATCCAATGTCACCAGCCAATCGTCTGCTCGTCGTTGTAGCCCCCCCCCCCTTCCATCTCTAACCCTGATAGCTGCGCTCCTCTTGCGTTTACGCGTCGACCTCACTGCTGGTGCTACCCCTGCGTGCGCGTCGTGGGACGGCCATGTCACCAACAACAGACACCACGTGGCAAAAGGAAGCCACGCACGACTGTCGGGCGCGCGCACATGCCTAGCAGCCGAGGAGCTTCCCTCCCCTGGCGCTAGTCTAGCCGGGGAGACCGGGCCTCGCCGGTCCGCCGGCGTCAGGGCGCTAGCCCTAGCGCAACCTCTTACTTTTCGCCTTTTGACAGTGGTGTGACGAGGCCCATATAAGGGAGCGGTGGGACTCGAGGCCGGGGTCCTCACAGTCTACCCGGTATGAACCTCTGGGAGCCAAGTTGCCCTTGAGGACTGTGTGGGCAGACAAAGTGGTAAAATTGAGAAAAAAAGTCTGCCCAAAAATCAAACAAATCAGAAAACTGGAAGGAGTATCAATCATGGGCAGGGTCCAGGGTTGGCGAGCTATCAGTTCAGCGGTCTAAAATCTGGCGACCATTTCTGATCTGGAAAGATACTCTCCCAACGCCTGCACCTAAGCTGGGTAATCGTCCCAGATCTATTGTTTTCGGGGAGCATGTCCCACTAGCGGGGGTTCTGTTTATGTTTCGTGTATTTTTCAACGCACTCACACCGTGGCCGTGGAATTTTCAGATCGGCTGGCAGGGAGCCCTGCATACTTGAAACCAGAACTAAACCTCGACAAGTGGGGCATGGCCCCGGGTTGTTTGTGGAGGGCTTCCTGGCCTCCTTTCTATTTTTCAATAATTGAAATGCAAAGTTGGTTGTGAAAAAGAAAAGAAAATCATGGGCAGTGCAAAAACACGGTGGCATTCCCAAGAATCTGGTATCCAACGACTATCTACCCACTGACGGATCATAGTAACAATAAAAACAATTATAATAATTTATTATCAGAAGATGGAGCCTCTATGGAAAAGGGTGATACGACCTGTGGAATTTCGTCCAGCAGACGCCTTTTTGAAACTAAAAGTTAATTGTTTGAGTGGTTTTCCTTTCCAGCAACTGTTTTTCATACAGCTTCGCTCCCAAATCATTTTTGTGTTTTTTTTTGCTTTGCTTTTCCAAACTGGTTTCATAAGACACAAAATAACAGTGCAGTGTCCTTTGGGACATCCGTTAAAATTGGAACGATACAGAGAAGGGTACATTAGCAAATGGCCCCTGTGCAAGGATGACACGCATAAATCGAGAAATGGTCCAAAAAAAAAAAACAGTGCAGTACTTCTGAAAAAATGAGGTAGACAACCTGCTCACTCAGTTGATGGATCGGCCGCAGGAGGCAGGGAGAGGGAGGACGAGGAGGGAGTGGCAATGCGAGCATGGGCCTCATGATAGAGTGCCCCTACCCCCGGTTTTAGGGGCTAATTAGTAATCCAAATGTATAGAATAGAGATGGGGTTGATGAACTTAGTGTTTTGGTCGATAGACTTCTTTTTTTTTCCTGATAGACTTGTGATTTAGTAGATTTCAGTGGTTAGATCAGCCATGGACTTGTGATTTAGTAGATTTCAGTGGTTAGATCAGCCATGAAATGCGAAGATAGGTCATTGGTTTAACTTCCCCTCATTTGGGACCCTTTTGGTAGAAGTTATGGTTTAGGGTTTAAGGTTTTTTGGCCATGAAGGCAGAACTTTTGGCTAAGTCGATGGATAATCTTTTTCGGTTTGTTCGGATTTGCTGACCTTGTGGTACTGTTTTCTTTTCCCAGGGTTGGGAAATGTCAGCGCAGCGGTCTGGATTTGGCCATTCTGCAGCTCGACCTATAATTCCCAATGCCTGCATGTAAGCTGGGTAATGGTCCCAGTAAATTTTTGTTTTTGTTTTCCCGGTTGAGATGTGGAGGGATTCCCGGCCTCCTCTTTCTTGTGTGGTAATGACTAAGCTGAGTCTTTTTTTTTTTTTTTTTTTTTTTTAAAAAAAAGGTAGAAAAAAATCCCACAAGAAAAAAAAAGGTAGAAGAAAGGACATAATTTATAAAAAAGTTGCCTGGTGAAAGGTCACGGAAAAACGTTTCAGTCAGGGGGACTAGGAATCACTGACCCCCTTAGACAGACAGAAGAAGCCCCAGAATGGTGGGTAGTTCGGTGGTTGCTGGATTATCAAAACTAGACTAGATTACCTGTTGCAGCTCCACCCGCAAAAGAAAAGGAACATTTCTCCCATCGTGATGAAAGAAGAGAGCTCATCAGGAGGTTGAACCAAGACTGTCCGTCCCACATGGAAGAAGAGGGCAAACACGACAGTCTGTCCCACATGGAAGAAGAGAGCAACCACGACAGTCTGTCCCACATGGAAGAAGAGAGCTCATCAGGAGGTTGAATCACGACAGTCTGTCCAGGATGCATTTGACTGATGGAGAAGAGCGATATCCCTGAGAAAAGTGGTTGACGTCACTCACACCAACCCTCTGTGTGTGTGTGTGTGTGTGTGTGTGTGTGTGTGTGTGTGTGTGTGTGTGTGTGTGTGTGTAAGTCTCGGTTGAGTGGGTCGAGACGGTGTGATTGAAAGCCGCTCGGGGGTAGTATTAAGTGGTGGCCTTCAATTATAATACGAGTGCCATTGTTGTTAAGCAGGTCCTGTCACCTGTGAGAGGAGTATTCAAAATTCAATCTGCTTGGCATTTGCTGTTCGCTACAAAACATTCGAGCAGCCGTATTTTATTGATGGGAGTGCATCTTGGAGCATTTCCTGGAAGCTATCAGTCAAAGACGAAACCACACGGCACGTGTCAGAATCAGCCCGTGGACAGCGTGTCAATCTCTCTCTCTCTCTCTCTCTCTCTCTCTCTCTCTCTCTCTCTCTCTCTCTCTCTCTCTGTGTGTGTGTGTGTGTGTGTGTGTGTGTGTGTCTGTCTCTGTGTGGTGGCCACACCCCACTGCGCAGACCCTCCCGCCCCACTGCCCCGACCCTTCTCCCCCACTGCACCCACCCTCCTGTCCCAGTGCGCTGACCCTCCGCTGCGACAGCGCCGACCCTCCTCCCCCACAGCACCGACCCTCCGTCCAACTGCGCCGACCCTCCTCCCTCACTGCGCCGAGCGTTCCCCCACTGTGCCGAGCCTCCTCCCAGAGTGCCCGGATCCTCCTCCCCCAATTCACTCACCCTCACCGCCCACTGCGCCCACACTCCGCCACTGCCCCGGCCCTCCTCTGTCAACGTGCCCACCTTCCTCCCCAACTGCACTGACCCTCCTACCCCACTGGGACGATCATCCGCGCCCACCCTTCTTCCCCCTGCGCCGAAACCCCGCATCCACTGCGCCGACCCTCCTCCCCTAGTGCGCCAACCATCCTTCCCGCCTGGCGCTGTGGATTGTGGTCATCTATTTCAGGGAGTTGTCAGTCTGCGGGTACGCGCTTGCGTTATCGCCAACCATGTTTCATGTACTCGTCCAAAAATAATATTCCGGAGGTTTTGCCAGAAAAAAAGGAATTAAAGAGAGAGAGAGAGCCTGCACCAGCATTCCACCTGAATTGTTCCCCCCCCTTCCAATTTTTTATTCCCCAGTTCTCTCTCTCTCTCTCTCTCTCTCTCTCTCTCTCTCGCGCGCGCGCGCGCGCGCGCGGGGCATCAAGGCGCAAGGCGGCCAAATCTCGTTAGGGGGAGCGGGCGCATGGCGGTGGTAGAGGCAGTCGCGCAAAGACTCTCTCTCTCTCTCTCTCTCTCTCTCTCTCTCTCTCTCTCTCTCTCTCTCTCTCTCTCCCCGCCCCTCCCCCCTTCGCCCCCCTGCAAATCCATCGATCGATCGACGTGGTAGGTCGTGCTGCAAGACATGCCACCTCGATCGATCGGACGATCGCGCAGAGAGAAATAGAAGATTTGCTTTTCCTTTTCCCATGCCACGAGGATCGATCGAGCGGATGACACGTCTGAACCAAGTAGAGGATCGTAGCGCAG